AATATTTGTGTACTTTATACTCATACTCAAGCTTCTTTTGGTAATTAAGTGTTTACAGCTTAGCATAAACAGCAGCTTGATTCAGCAGGCTGCTTACAGTACCTGTCAGTTCCTTACAGACCAGCTCATTTCAAACGTTATCCTTTCAAACAGCATACCGTGTTACCTAAAGCAGTATTACAGCAAAAAAATGGACCTGGTAATTACCAGCAGCCCTTCAGCCTGGCTGTAATTTAAGTTCTGCATATCCTGGGCAGTAAAGAACATGGATACTCATGACAAGAGCCACCAATAACGTCAACAGGTACAAACGGCAAGCACAGAAATCAAGTTATTGCTAACAATTCTACAATGTCGCCCTGTATGACATTCGAATTGTGTGATGCACAGGTATGCCAGATGATTCAAAGCTCAATCATTTTTCATCTGCTTGCAATGCAGCCACTTGCGCTCAGACAGGATGCTCCGTAACTTGCTAAAGACGGTTCCACTTCAGCAGTCTTCAAACAGGAAGCAACGGGAGGATGGAAGATGCGGAGATTAGAACAGCACAGAGCTCCCAGACATCAAGCTATCACACAGAAGGAGGAGTAAGAATCAAAAGGCAGCCACTGTGCCAAAGCCACCATACTAGATTAAGCAGGACTAGAGTTGCACATCACGTCCTGTAGGCTATACTGAGTAACAACAGATTGGAGGAAAAGCTACCCCACCTTCCTTGATCCAACTGTGAGAACACTAAGGCAACAGTGGATACCGTCCGGCTTCAGGGCAGGTCAGGAGCTGTCGGTATCTGATGCTAAGAGGCCTGTTTCAGAATCTGTAGGTGTAGAAGATGGTAACTCAGAACAACACACAGACAGTCTGGTAATCTAGCACAATGCAACAGCCCAGGCCACCAGCCTGCGCTAAGTTCATCTTTCAAGCATTTGGAATTTCTTGCATCGGTTCTCAAGTCTGACTGCTTCCTGGCAGACTGGAAGGAGTTCGCTTTCCTTCACTTCCCAGGCTGAAACTCTGTAGTGCCTTGCTTAGTACCGCCAGACCAGTTATCTGCCCACACCTTCTAAGGGGAACTCAAGTTGTTGCATATTGATCCAAGCTCCACTAGGCTGACGTGCAATGCTTCTTTGGACATCAGCAATCACACCAGTTGCCAAAAATACTTCCTTCCACTTCAAAACCTTATCTTTGACCTGTACAGGACAGGAAAGTAAATGAGCATTTGTCCTGCAAGTATGGAACATTGCTTCTCTATAACAATCATGCTATTGCCAGGGGAATATATAGCTGCACGCTAAGAGGATGTCCAAGGAAGATGTATACAGAATGAAGCCTAAATAGCAAGCATAGTCTCAGTTATCTTCATAAGGATTTAAGAAACACATGCCACTATAGACCTCACATCTCCATCAGATGATCATGTCTGTACAAGACTGCAATGGAAGAAGGCTTTGGTCGGCACTGAATCCAGCAACAGAGCAGTACACTCTACTGACCAACTGGTCAAAGGTACGAATTTTTTCTTTAGTTTGTCTGAAGGTCTTTCCTAGATGGCAACACACCAAGAGAGACGCCAGAGGCTGCTTACAAATCTCTGAGCAAGTGCAAACCCCCAGGGACAAAAGAAAGTTTTTGATGCACACCTATGCCTCACACAGAGCCAGACTGCCTTGCAAATCACTGCCAGTGCTGGTTTAGCAAATGCACTGCCAGCTACCTCTAGGGAAGGCTGAAGAGAGATCCAGGGAAAGAAATAAACCCCATTCAGTTTGCAGTAAAGAAGACTGTTGACTACAAGTAACAGCAGAAGGAAAGCTGACCAGCTAGTCAGCACATTTATCCTCCTAATAATACTTGGTGAAAAAGAGCAATAATCCTTAATCGGACCAGAAGTTCCCTGCAGCTGAATAAACTGCCTCAGCCACTGCCTAGCAGCTAACAGAAAACAGGGGAAAAGAAAGACATCCTTGACTAAACTCCCCTTCCAGTTTCTAGCAGCCAGCAGCTTAAATATATTTACTGAAGAAAAGGTCCCCATCATAAATAAAGCACCCACCCCCCAGGCAATTGCATAGAACAAAAAAACACTTACTTCACATTTCTCAAAGACTGTGGTAACAAGCAGCAAAAATCTACTTCAGAATCTTGATTGGGTTCAATAGCACCAATGGACAACTTTACTGTAGTTAACACTCCTTTTGGGAAAGATAACTAGCTTCTCTTACCAGTTGAGAAAAGGGCCCTGTACAAGTCAGGGAGGAAGGCCTCTGGCCGTTCTAGATGAAGTAAAGGACCCCCTGCTCCCTACCATAGACACAGGTACCCTCCCTACCAGCAACAGACACAGAGGGCACATCCCATGCCTGGCTGAACAAGGGAGCTTTTGCTGGGACTCAGGAAAAAAAGGAGAGTTTACCACTTTGGGAAGAAGGGGCAGGCAACTCAAGAAGAGCACAGAGATCTCATTAGGTTATGCAGAGATAAAATTAGAAAGGCAAAAGCGCAGCTAGAACTCAATCTGACCACTACTGTAATGGTCAAGCGTTGGAACAGGCTGCCAGAGAGGTGGTGGAGCCACCATCCCTGGAGGTGTTCAAAAAACGTGTAGACATGGCACTTTGGGACATGGTTTAGTAGGCTTGGTGGTGTTGGGTTGGCGGTTGGACTTGATGACCTTGGAGGTCTTTGCCAAACTTAATGATTCTATGATCCCTCATCAGCAATAGATCAGAAAATTAGTGAGTGACTCATGACATATCTTCCCTTTTGAAGAAGGATGGAAAGGGAAAGCAGGAGGATATGGTCCTCTGCCAATAAGGACAGGATGAAGAGGAGAAACAGCAGTGACTACAAATCATACAGCAGTGTCGTGTCTGCATGCAGCAACCAGTGATTACCATCATTGAATTCAAGCTCTTTCAGCCCAGCACTGACAAACTATCTCCAGCAGACAATCTTTAACATCCAAAGCTTGCTAGAAGCTACGCTAAGGGAATCAGCAAGCTCAGTCCACCAACTTCTTAAGCCTTTAAGGAAGACCTCATTGCTGGTTTTCAACCTGCTCAAGCAGAAAAACAAGAGAGGATGCATCCCAGAAATGGATTGTGGTTTACATATGACAGAAGAGAAAGACTAAACTACCAAAATTGCCCTGGAAAAGGAATGAAGATGGCAAAAGTTGCATTGTTACACACTAGAGAATCAGATTCCATTCTGCTTTACCTCAAGCACTGAACAAAAGGGAGGGAGACAGTGCAAAAGAATGCTTTCATACAATTTATAAAAGCAAAATATGAAAACCAAATTTTGTTTCAAGTGACATTTCCCAGGAAAATAAAAATCAAAACCTCAACTAACAGAGTTCCTTGGTGAGTGACTGAAGTGTTTCTTAAGGTGGCAAAAAAAGAGGACCAACACAGTATTCAGCTTTGCCAAAAGTAAATATAACATAAAGCAACCTAATTCCCCAGTGGAAACATCAAAGCTTTCCCACTTCCATACTGCGGTGACGGGCAAAGTGAAGTAACAGAGCAGGCAGATAAACATTTAAGCTAGGGGCTATGCAGTCCTCTGACAGGTCTCTGAACTAGCAGAATGGACCACTGTGTAAGACTAGAACTGAACCCCGAAGTATCAGCTGGTTAAGGCTATGCATCTGCACAGCATCAAATCACAGTACCAAGCATGCCAGACTTCAGGAACACAAACACGGTGTAGCAGGAGCGCAGGGTAATTATGTCCGGTGCATAGAGCCAGGATGGACAACACAGCAGGTACAAGAGAAGCAACCACACAGTTACAGAAAAGAAGTTACACAGGCTGTAAGGGTGTTTCATTCTCCAAAGCAAAACCACTGCTCAAATCCTGTTACCTCTTTTGCTCACAGCTCATTATAACCAGTGCTTCCGTTATCAGTTTCAGGATATAAACTAGCGAAACAGAAGTGCCAGTTTTAACTGTTATTCCTGCTTTCTCAGTTACAACCTGTGAATTTCCCAAATCTATGCACTTAGTATAACACAGTACTTCTATAATTACAGTATCTTCCCAAGGGTTAATTGCAGAGGTGACGCTTGTTACTGAACTGAATAGAGGAGGAAAGAAGTCTACACCCCACTCTGAGAAATACTGAGGCAAAAAAGTTTTCACTTAGTAATGAAAACAGAGTATTCACATACCACTAGGTGATTAGGCAGAAGATCCTGTTGATAGGATGTGAAAACAAAAAGGGCGTAGACTATACCAAGGTGTCAAAGTTAGAAAAAAAACTGCAGGAAAGAGGAAGGAGAAAGCTGTGTAAGGCACACAAGCAGGGAAGACTTCATTACTGACATAGCAGCCTTCTCTTTAAAAAAAGAAACATTTTTATCCCCTTAGACAAGACAATGGCATATTTCAATACACTGTGCCAAATTAACTACATCAACATTTGCATGCCTGTTCCAAGACAAAGACTGACCTCTTGAATAGAAATCTGTTTAAACTAATTAAAAAGAAACAAACATACCACCTTTAGCCCAAAACTGACAAATATTACCTTATAAAAAATGTCTTTTCCTAAAGAAGATAAATATGGACAAAATCTCAGCTTTATAAATATTTTTGCTTTAGAGTTCTAAATTGCAAATTACTTACTATAAGAAATAGTACAGTTCAAAAATATCTTGAAGGGGGAATGTATGTATGTATGTATAAAAGCTATGTTATAAACATGTGACATCACTGAGAGCAGTTGTGCTTATGAATTAATGCTACGTAGTTTGAACAACCGTGTGGAAAACATTTGAAGAACTAAAACCAAGTAGAACTATAAATAATATATTGGTTTTTAAATGTGTCATCATAAAGAAAAGGTTTGACACAAAGTAAGCAAAACAGGTGCTTATTGCATAGATATTATTCTGCTGCCATGGAAGTAGGATCTGGTAATGAAAATATTTTTACCTCATTCTGAAATGCAGTCACTGCTGCCAGAGCACATTTAATATAAATGCAAACAAAACTTACCAGATTTAGAAACAATACCCTTGATGCTATGCACTGAGACAATACTCTGTAAATCAGTTTATTTTCCATGTAGTGGACATATTCAGTCAGTGTAATTATTTTTCTGCATGTGAATAGTAAAATCAAAGTGCTTACTTTCCCACAAGAAAGGTGTTCACTGTGAGAATACTGGGTCTTGTAGTACCCTATAAAGCTTTCAATTTAAAGGTTAGTGCTAGAAATTTGGAACTGTAACATCAGGGTCTTTTGCCATTAATAACAACAACTACACTAAAAATGGCTAAAGAGCAGTTACGTGTGGAGGAAGTAGAACAGTACAACAGCTCAATTAAGGAAAAGAGTTTTAGTGCACTTTGCTCATTTTAGCCAACATGCTACATCACCCTTTTTGCGTACAAAGTGGACTCAAGAATTTCCATCGTAAGAAAGAAATGACTTGGCAAGCAGAACACTGTTTCAAGCTGCCCTTTTTTCCTTATAGACTTGTACATTTCAAGACAGAAGCTTTGCAAGACATTACACAATTCTTTGTTTTTATTATTAAATGAGAAAGTCTGATTTGTTACATTGTCACATTGCTAGTCAGAAATACTTCAGTGATGAAGAAAGTCAATGCTGGGTCAACCCAAGTCCTCATTCTACAACATTCGTTTACAAAGAAATTATAGTTATGTTCAACACACCCAGCACAACATTCCTTGTTTTCTTCAGAGAAAAGTCCCATCCTTCTTCCTCTAGTGGGTATGTTACTACATAAATTAGAATTTTTTTTAGGACAACACATCCCCAAATTTTCATGAGATCAAAACAGGCTTCTACAGATGTCACAGAAGTCTTTACACATCATCATCATCTGACGTATCACTGCTGCTTGTCTCAGAATCCTCATTCTCCAGAGCAGGTTTGAAAGTGCTGTTTTTCCAGGGGCTAAATTTAAAATCACAGATGAAGCCATTTTTCAAAATGCCATTTTTCCGAAGGCCATTTTTTTGTAACTGAAATGAGAAAACAAGACTTATTTAGAGGAAGGAAAAGCTAAACACAACAATCTGTTGCATTTCAACATTCTCTACATCTTCATCTCTGGACTATGTCAGATCCACAGCACTACCTTTTCATATGTACACACGAAGGAAAACTCCCCTGAGAGCCTTCACTTCTGGGTCAGCCACCTTTATCCAAGCGCCTCCAGCTGTGCTAAGCTCCTGCAGCCGCTGAGAGCTTACCCCTCTTCTCACCTGCTTACTTCCTCAGACTTCTTGCCCCAGTGATCCCTCCTCCCACACAGTCTCTCCTGCAATGTAGTCCCTTTTCCCACAGTGCTGCAAACATCTGTGCTAAGGAGTGCAGGGTCTAAAATAAGGAAGGGGCCCAGAAGAGGAGCAGCAGCAGGGAGGAATGGGTATCCCAATCTGTCTACCTGATGCAGCTGGAAATTCAAAGACACTCCAGAGAAAGGAAACAACTGATTCTACAACAAGAAAGGAATTACTGCATTTCATTCAAGACCAGGTTGGACGGGGGTCTGAGCAACCTGATCTAGTTAGCAGTGTCCCTGCTCACGGCAGGGGGGTTGGACTAGATGACCTCTAGGGGTCCCTTCCACAACAATCTGTTGCATTTCAACATTCTCTACATCTTCATCTCTGGACTATGTCAGATCCACAGCACTACCTTTTCATATGTACACACGAAGGAAAACTCCCCTGAGAGCCTTCACTTCTGGGTCAGCCACCTTTATCCAAGCGCCTCCAGCTGTGCTAAGCTCCTGCAGCCGCTGAGAGCTTACCCCTCTTCTCACCTGCTTACTTCCTCAGACTTCTTGCCCCAGTGATCCCTCCTCCCACACAGTCTCTCCTGCAATGTAGTCCCTTTTCCCACAGTGCTGCAAACATCTGTGCTAAGGAGTGCAGGGTCTAAAATAAGGAAGGGGCCCAGAAGAGGAGCAGCAGCAGGGAGGAATGGGTATCCCAATCTGTCTACCTGATGCAGCTGGAAATTCAAAGACACTCCAGAGAAAGGAAACAACTGATTCTACAACAAGAAAGGAATTACTGCATTTCATTCAAGACCAGGTTGGACGGGGGTCTGAGCAACCTGATCTAGTTAGCAGTGTCCCTGCTCACGGCAGGGGGGTTGGACTAGATGACCTCTAGGGGTCCCTTCCAACCCAAAGCATTCTATGATTCTATGATTTCCACACATAGTGCAGCAGCTGGGCAATAAGCCAAGCATTTAAGAGTTTAATATTCCAAATGCTCTAATTAATACGTGTGTCTAGACTTATGGAAATATCAAATGTTCAGATTTAACACTGCACAAGATTCTTCCTTCCAGCTACTCCCTCACTGGCTCCATCAGGTATATACAACACTCCTAATTAAAAAAAAAAAAAAAAAAAAAAAAATCAAGTCTAGATTGCCTTTTCAGACTTTGTTACTAACAAATTAAATGTCTCAATTTCCAACAGAGAAAATTCAAATTTTAGAGAACCAAGGAAACTGCATAAAAACCTTGAAAGAAAATTCCCCCTCCTCATGCTAAGCTGAGGAGCTGGAAAGCCTGTGCAGTTCTACCACCAGCAATGCTGAAGCTACTCAGAAGCACTCCTTTAACTTTTCCTTGGCATTTTGAGAATAGGCCTTACCTACAATAAGCACCAGTCCCCTATCTTTTTAAAGCACCTATTCTTCCAAAAGCACAATACTGAAACGGTACTGAAACAGCAACATCTCTAAACCAGCAAAATTACTGCAGATCCTCCTCAAAGGTAGGCATTTAGGGTAGCCAACTGCAAGTTCATAATGGAACATTAACTTACTGTTACCTGTTCGCTAATGACTCGGAACTCCCTCATCTCATCCTCTGTTAGTGGAGCACATGTTTCATCATTTTCACTGTCTTCCTGCCAGCCCATCTCTTTTAACAACCTTTAAATCAAAAAGGACAACATTAAGGCATTTGCTGCACACACTCAGACATTTCAAGCTCTGCCTACGTGCTTGTATAAAGACCTGTAACAAATGGATTAATGAGTCCATAACTCTTTTAAAACAAACTCTTACATAAAAGTATGTTAAAAGCCTTACAAAAGGTATATAAAGCATGGAAGTTGAGAAGTTCTCCGGCCCTTCACAGATGACCCTGCTTTACCACTACATGCCATAAAAACTGTACCTTCATTTTAAGGCCAGATATCTGTGTCAGGTGGAAAATTAAGAATGCATTTCCTTTGCACAACTGCCGTGGTGGGGCAGCAGTGTACCCCCTTGAAAATGAAGATACAACTGTCACACTGAGGGAATCTGCAGGTTTTCCTGGATAACAGAGCAGCCATGAGGAATACTGCTGGTATCCCTCCATGGGAATCAATTCAGGATGCAATGGCCTCACTTTTTTTCCTAGCACATGCTAATGTCAGAGCCAGGATAGGCTTCTTTGCAGCTGAGTCTCACCCAATGGCAGATGCTTGTATTTCAGCACAGACAAACTACGACTAGGAGTGAATTTTGGGATGACGGGAGGAAAAGAAACAAGAGACAGATTCCTCTCATGACTAGGCTTGAGAAATCCAAAGCAATAATCAACGAAATAATCAATAAAGCTATTTCACAAAAAATAAAGAGGTTTCTAAAGTATATGACGGAACTGTCACAAGAAACTGACATGTAGAGCTGAAGAATGGTGCACGTATTAAAATGGGGAAGTAAGACAGACTCTGCCAGGTATTTCCTTTAGCCAGATGGCAGCAAAAAATGCCCTTCAACATAACCCTCCCCACAAAGAATTCTAGGTCGCAATACAATGCATGTGCATTGGGCAGAATTGCAGGTGACACCAATGACTGTTGTTAAAATCATAGTAAGAGCCTCGAACTGTAGAAGGAAAAGGGGAGAACAGCACTACTCTGTTTAAAAAAGAAGTTAACAGGACAGTAACTGAAATGGAAATTACATCCTCTGTAGTATTTGGACCAAATTGGACAATGTGACAGCCAGGAACAATTAAATCCTCAGAAAGCAGCAGAAATAATATGCCAATCATACAAAACTCTCTTTTAAGAGAATATGTGCATTTGTATAGACATACAGAAGAAGACTCACAATGCCAAATGCAGTTCAACAATAGTTATATTTCTGGCAACAGTAATTTGAGTTAAGAGTTTTACTGCAAGAAAGCTAAGATGGTAGCAGTATTACATAGAATAATGTGAATAGTTAACAGAGCTCCTGTTAATGTAAATAAAATTTAGGGTAACAGTTAATTAACTTTTAAGCAACACTGTCTAAAGTTTGCAGGACTGCTGTCCCTTTACAGCGACACTAGGCTTCTAGAATGGTTAAAAGTGTGAACTACGTAAAAAAATTAAACTTCAGATTAGCAAACTTGACACCAACAGGATGGCTGCACATTGGAAACTTCCCCAGGAGAAGGGAAGCCTGAGGTATACTTTGTACAAGATGTGCCAATACTGTTAGTAGGTATGCACGAGTATCCTGTGAGTTAAGCTGGTCAATCCAAGTCCCGTTTACCTCAACAAGGCTCACCATAACATTTGTCTACAGGCATGCAGAGGTCACAGCTAAAGGGCTGGGACAGTATGGAGACACAGCCTCTCTGGAATACCACAAAGGAAAGACACTTGCCTAGAAACCCTATGAAGGCCATTCAAAGGAATTTGAATTGAAAAATGGAGTTAGATTTGACTCCCAACTTCTAGTTAAAAAATTGTCATCAGCAGCCTCTAGTGGCCAAAGATTTCTCTCCGCAGCCAACGATAGAAAAAAAGGAACAGAGCAGGGTGCATTTCCTACAAAATGGGATAAAGTTCTCTAGTCCAATGTATACTTACAATCTATCACCAAAAAAAAAAAAAAAAAAAAATCTATCTATCACTGCAATTCTGTAGTTGCCAGAAACACTAAGAATCCGACAGAGCTTATGACCAGCTCATCTCCAGACTGAGCTGTCATTTCCCAGCAGCATCATTCTCATCTCTATCAGTTGCTACTGCAGTTCATGAGACACAGGAATTGTTTCAAGCCTTTTCCGAAGTTACTTCCTCCCTTTCCAGGGCATTGTCTTGTGATATCACTGACAGTGTCAACTAGTCAGCTACAGAAATAATTAGTAACTTTAACAATGAGGAAAAAGACACTAGAGTTTTACATGAGATGCAGCTTTTAAAGTATTATTAATACAAATAGCAATTACATGTGTTGTTCCTCCCACACATGCAGATGAAAATCAGAGGGATGAAGTCACTATGCAGTTCGCTTCATTTCTTTATAAAGAAACACATCAATTTTTAGTGAAGCAAGTTTAAGTCAGTACACAAGTCTAGTAGAAACAAAGTATATTCCATGTTATATTAGTACATGTCTAAAAGTTAAACTTTGACAGTACTCATTAAGCATTTTATGTGTTCTCAGTTTTCAGATTCTGACTTCTGAACCAGTAGGAATTTATGACATGCTCACTTACCCTGAAGGAACACTCTTTATATTATATAAAGTACATACCTATGCTCTGCCTCAAGTGAGCTTGAAAGAACATCTGCCTGAGGGAAAGCTGAAGACTGAATGATCTGTTGAGATGTAATTGAAGCATTGCCATTTTCGTGCGGAATTTCATTTTCAAAGTTTCGGTTTATATCTCTCTCATGATGAGGACTGTTGCTGTTATGCAAGTTAAAAGACTCATCATCCTGTTAAAAATAATTATATATTATAAAGTTTAAAAATAAATTCCATTCATAAGTAAATGTCTGCAAGTGCTGCAATTCAGTGATTACATTTAGTTTACATTAAGTTTAAATGCAGACACTCTATAAGGCTTCTGGGGTAATTCTCTTCATACTGGATACTACAGAAATTTTAAGTTATGCTACTGATCAAGTAATGTAGAAAGCAACTCCCACGTTCTGCCTCAAACTTTTTTCTAGGAAGTTTCAAACATATCTTAGAATTCAAACTTATTTAAGCTGCCTCTCATACTTACAGAAACAATAGGTTATCTGTTGAACTTAGAAACAATATTGCTAATTAAATATCAGAGCCATGTGTGTCAGGAGAAGTTTGAAAGCATAAAAGCTCTTAAGATTACTTAGTGTAAGGGGCAGGTCACAGCCACCATACCTTAACCAGCAAATTCACCTGCCACAGTTCAGAAAGACTGGATACGGCTCTTTAAATTCAGACAGCAACTTCCCTTGCGCACATGCACTCACCACAGTTTCTCAGGCTGTTGTTAACAGCAACTGTAACTTACTAGCCATGAAGTAAGAACTGGGAAGAAAGTGTGCTTAGAAAGCAGGCTGTATAGGTTCGCTCAAACATTAAAAGCTCTCTAATCCTATAAACCAGAGATGTTTCTTTTTATTCTACTCATTCAGCAACATCTAATTCTTATTTAGTAATGAGCCAAATAGCCTCAAGAAGTCTTACCAGCTGTAAAAAACACATAGGAGGGTACTATCATTATCTAGTTAACACCCTTTTGACAACAAAATTCCTAGACTAGGCATTTAACAGCATTATCCGTAGCAGGAGGCAATACGCAACCAGCCAGTTCTGCACTTGTAAGAAACCATACTTCAGCGCCCAGGATCAAGTCCATCATCATCCTTTCCCTCCCACTCACAGTGTTGTTTGCTTCCAGAAATTTTAGAATGCTCAGCAAGGATTTACTAAGAACAAGTATCCCAGTAAACATACATCATATGCCTGAAGAATGCATCTCAGATTATCAACAAAATTAATAAAAAAATTAAACTATTTTAATATACATATAGGGAAAAATAGCTTCTTCCAAGCATGATTCAGCTGCAGATTATGATTTGCCTTGTTCCAGAGGTGAAACTGCAGGCCTTAAAATTCCATCAACAAGATCATGTTATAGAAGACTGTTTTGTGCAGTTATCTCCCCATTCACTGAGTTGCACACCATGTCTTCTACTGATGATCATTAAAATGAACATTGGAAGTAGGACAACTATTAGTTATGTGATTTGTTTAACATCTTTTCACACCTGCTAGTGAAACAGCAACAGCAGGGAAAGGGAAGCATGCACTTACCAACAACTACTCCAGGCTACACGTTCAAGGACACTACAACTTCCACTACTAAAAGCCTTTTTTTTTTTTTAAATACACTTGCTTCTGAAAATCAGCTGTGTACGATGGGACAACCAAATGCATTTGACATATGTATCATAAAGATATTATGAACTCAAGACAATTTCAGGAACAGAAAACCCCACCAAGTTTCAGAATTCTGAAGCTCAAGATAGTCTTTCCTGCTATCTTTTTAATTTTACATCAAAATCTTTGTGTATTTCTTAAACACATGTGAACATCATTATCCCCAACACCCATCTCAAGGTGCTCAGCCACAGAATGCCTAATGGAAAGATGCAGACCTTTCTTAACTCACACATACAGCTAAGTTGTACAGTCTCATTACAGCAAATTTTATTTTGCCCGAAATAGGAGCAGGGTCAGAAAAGTCAATCTTACTTTTATAAACAATGCACGCTGGCACTCCTGTTTTCACATCTCTGAATCCAAATAAACATTCCACAAAACCATTCATTTATCTGTCTGATTTTTAATGAATGATGCTTTTTTGTTTTGCTAAAACACTTCAAGCCACTCATTTACAGCAAGCATGCTTGTAATCACCTCATCCTGAATGATACAATACTTATCTTCACTTTGACTACATATGATAACTATGCTCATGGCTTGTTGGTGGCTGGTAGCGCTGACACAAATATCCTCTGCTGCCAGCCAAGCACTGCACAAACCAATCCAATTGTTTTGTAGCATAACTAACAGCCAAGATATGAAATACTGCCCTTCACAAGTCCGTGGGGTGGACGGGATCCACAAAGCTGGTGAAGGGTCTGGAGCACAAGTACTGTGAGGAGCAGCTGAGGGAGCTGGGGTTGTTAAGTCTAGAGAAAAGGAGGCTGAGGGGAGACCTTATCGCTCTCTACAGCTACATGAAAGGTACAGATAGTGAGGTGGGTGTCGGTCTCTTTTCCCAGGTAGCAAGTGATAGGGCAGGAGGAAATGACATCAGGTTGCACCAGGAGAGGTTTAGATTGGACATCAGGAAAAATTTCTTCACCAAAAGAGTTGTCAAGCATGGGAACAGGCTGCCCAGGGAAGTGGTTGAGCCCCCATCCCTGGAGGTATTTAAAAGACGGGTAGATATGGTGCTTAGGTTTAGTGGTGGACTCAGCAGTGCTACGTTAATGGTTGGACTTTATGATCTTAATGGTCTTTTCCAACCTAAACAATTCTATGATTAGGTTAGTGTACTAAGCTTAATTTATTCTTTTTATTGTTACTAAAGACACAGATGTACCTGAGTTATTAACATGTATGAACAGATACGGCAGAAAGAAAAAAAGAAACTACTAAGAAGCACAGGAGGAAGAGTAGTACTTGGAACAATTTTTTAAAATTCATCAAAATATAATTCCTTTCCTTCATTTAGAGATACAAGACCACGACTTAACAGCTGTTTACAGCAAAATAAAAAGTAGTTTATGGTCTGTCTGAAAACTGCTACTGCTAGATCTGCAATAGGTATGAACAAAGCTACCTTCTCTTGCCCAGCATGATTCTCGTCTTCATGTTCCTCTTCCACTCTATCTCGTTTCAATGCTTTCAAAAATTCACTCTTCTTATCAGTCCTCATTCTTGTCAATTTTGTTAAACGAGGCTGACCAACTTTGTCAACAGGGGATGAAGAATTTGACCGATTGCACTAATGCAGGGAGACAGAAAAAGAAAGAATATTAGAAGTTTATGCATTTAGAAAACTTTAAATGAAATACAAAAAGACTCCCTGGCACCTGTAGTTTCAGGTTTCACAAACATCCACAGTCAAAAGCAGAGGGAAGGTATTTGTATTTCAGTATATATAGTTCTTGCATGTAAACCCAGAGATACAGGCTTATGGAGCACTGTTAATGAGCAGTGGACTTTCTGAAGTGTATCGCACCATTAGCGGTTTTGAAGCTTAAACCTGTCAGGTTACACTTCCTAATGCACTGTTTTTCTCCAAATCAACCCTACAAAGCAAATTGTGCAGTACTTGAAAACCAGCGATGTGCCTTCCATATTTCTCATACATTAATTTCCAAAAACCCCTTATTTAATACAATTCTGCATAAAATTTACTGACCCCCCTTATCTAACCAAATTAAACATTTTATAGATTTGATAAAAACTACAGACATTGCTTTACCTCTTTCACTGAATTTTGTGATACAGTAAATGCCTTGGCAGTTGATTTGAAAAGACTGAAATTGCCAACACTGTATGCAGATTCATGAGGAAATGGATTCCCAAGTTTATTTTCTTTTGCTTGGCTTTTCCACTGTGTAGGCTAAATAAAAATTTGAACAGAGATTTTAAAAGTTATTAACTACAATATGATAATTTTCAGGAATCTTCAGAAAAATATTAAGCAAACACGAATCATAACTACAACCATAATTCAGTGCAAACATATCTGTTTTCTTGTGGACAAGAGACTGTTTATGAGCAATTCATCCACTCACAAATACTGTTTAGACTTGTTATATAAAGACTAAAATTTCAAAACAATTAAGACCCTCATGTTTGAGGTATTAAGAATCAAAATACAAGTCTTCAACAGCTGAAAGTATTGTTTTTAATGTAGAATATTAGACAGTTAAGAACTACTCCATCATATTCTTTCAGGAGCAAAGAAAAATTCCTGAAACAAAAATCAAGAGATGACCATGGGAAGTTGCATTTGGAAAGGGGCCAGAATGACAACATGATCTTTATCAATAATGGGGATAATATCTCTCTCCACTAGGTATCTATTTTTCTGTCCAAATCATACAGACAAAAGGGCAGTGCTATTCCGTAAGTTATAAACATACTTTTCACTCTCACTTGGACAGCTCTTGCACTTCTCAAAAAAGGTAAATGAGAAACAAAGAGAGATCCAATTACAGTATAGTTTAAAAAGAAAAATGAGAAAAAGCTGTTTCCATTCACTTTTGGGGTATGCTGCACTTAGCAAGAGTTCAATGTGCTTATTTCACACCTGAGAGTACTCTAGGAACAGTACTCTCAGGGGTGAAATGAGCACATTCAGAATTACAGCATGATTTTTGTCAGCATGTTGTTCATGCCACTGGTATCCAAGACTCACCTTTGCGGGCGGAGTCACAGGTTTAGGGACTAATCCTTTATAAACATTTGTGCCAGTTCCATTCCTTACTGGCTGTGAATGAAGACTTCCTACTACTGGGAATCCAGATATCTGCAGTTCTTTTGTACTGCCCTTTTTAATGACCAGCATTCTCGGAGATCTAGATTTAGGATTCAAAGGGTACTCTTAATGAAAAGAAGAGTGTGTGTGTGCATGTGTGTGCGTGTATATATATATATATATATGCATGTGTATACAATCTTAAGTTTCTAGTTCATAAGGTAATGGATAGCCTTATGGTCCAGAACAAACAGGCAAAAACTGGGAACTTAGTTCAGCATGAGTTCCACAATAACACACTGTACAAAGCTGAATAAGCACAGGTTCTGTTCCATGTTTCACAACCATCATTTGTAAAATATTTCACTTGGCAAAGCAGGGATTTTACTTTCAGAAAGTAAAGATATTCTTCAAAGAAGCCAGCTACACAGTTCTTATTTGGAAATCTAAAATCTACATACTATTAATTGTTGATAGTTACCTAATCTTCAAAAGATGTTATGGTTTTCATATTTCTCGTTAAGGTTACTAAAAGGATAATTACTTATATATTAACAGGTCAGTTTGCAGCCAAATGCTCCATGCCAAGGCTCTATAAACATGAGACCAGAGATGTGCACTACTCTAGACCATGGCAACAACCAGTTTCTCTATCTCCATACCTCGGATGGGCATAACAGAACATTTGAAGCTTACAACATTTCCATGTTCAAGAGAGCACTAATTAAGAGACACAGTCAGCTGTCATACCAAGTAACTGACATTTAACTCTTTTAAAGAACACCTATTAAAACAGTTGCAAAATTTTCAAAAAGTGAAAAAAACCTTTAATTTTTTTTTTTTTTGCACATGCGTTCCAATGGTGCATAAACAGCCTTTTCCAAGATTATCTCCTCTCCCTGCAGGCATTTCTACTTCATGGGCAGAGTCACCATATCCTACATTTCATAGAATCTTGGAATCACAGAATGTTTTGGGTTGGAAGGGACCCCTAGAGGTCATCTAGTCCAACCCCTCTGCAATGAGCAGGGACACCGCTAACTAGATCAGTTTGCTCAGAGCCCCATCCAACCTGGCCTTGAATGCTTCCAGGGATGGGGCCTCCACTACCTCTCTGGGCAACCTGTTCCAGTGTTTCACCACCCTCATTGTAAAAAATTTCTTCCTTATATCCAGTCTAAACCTACCCTGGTTTAGTTTAAAACCATTACCCCTTGTCCTGTCACAGCTGGCTCTACTAAAAAGATTTTCCTCATCTTTTCCTATAGGCCCCCTTTAGGTACTGAAAGGCCGCAATCAGGTCTCCCCGCAGCCTTCTTTTCTCCAGGCTGAACAACCCCAACTCTCTCAGCCTGTCCTCATAGCAGAGGTGCTCCAGCCCTCGGATCATTTTTGTAGCCCTCCTCTGGACCCGCTCCAACAGTTCCATGTCCTTCTTGTGCTGAGGGCTCCAGAGCTGGACGCAGTACTCTAGGTGAGGCCTCACCAGAGCAGAGTAGAGGGGCAGAATCACCTCCCTCGACCTGCTGGCCACGCTTCTCCTGATGCAGCCCAGAGTATGGTTGGCCTTCTGGGCTGCCAGTGCACATTGCTGGCTCATGTCCAGCTTTTCATCCACCAGCACCCCCAAGTCCCTCTTGGCAGGGCTGCTCTCGATCCTTTCTTCCCCCAGCCTGTATTGATACTGGGAGTTACCCCGACCCAGGTGCATGACCTTGCACTTGGCCTTGTTGAACCTCATGAGGTTAAAAAAACCTATCCTAAAAGCCTAGGTGACTTTAGCTTTGTTTAGCAGGTAGATGTTACAAAACATTTGTGATAACTGTATACTTAACTCTCAAACTTTACAAAAAGACTTTTCATAATACTCTCGTGCTCTCATCACATATAGACAAGGGAAAATGGAATCTAACAGAAGCACACATTTTTAACAGACATCAGAAGGGGATGGCAGCATTCCTCCTGTCCTGAATATTGTTTTCTTTAAAAGGGAATAACAGGGAATAGACCTGTGCAGTCTAAAGCTGCCACCTTCTTAAAGGTGAACAACTAACTACATCAAGCCCACAGAACTGTGAAGTGGCAGCCAAATTTAATCAGGTAGAGGTGAGAAAACAATCTCAGACTACAGTTCAGTTCAAGACCACTCACAGGATTGGATTTGTTACAAGTAATTCATAAACACACCAACAGTTTAAGACATTTGCTTCCAGGAAGAGACCTTAAACCTCTGCAAGCTAACCTGCTCTTCTCAGCCCTCCTAGGTTTCTCTCCGAACTCTTCCAACAGCTCTAATCAGTCAGAAGCATTCTTTTACAAAGTCTTCAGGTAGCAAATCACATCACTAGTTTAGGTGATCCACCTTCACTGCATTTCCTCTTGAAAATAAAGGTGAAGATAAGTTCTTGATATCTTTACAAGGAAAGATATATACTTGTGTGGGAAAGAATCCTAGTTGTGGCTGCCTCTACAGACCAACAGACTGACATTCAAATAGAAGTGTTACTTCTCTTACAAAAAAATACTTACATTATAATTATACTGAAGTTTCCTCAATTTCAATCTATACCTTTATAATTCTAAAAAAAATTCCTGTGTTTCAAATAAAACAACTTCAGGTCTCTGCTACATTTTTATATTTAAAAACATCAAAAATACTCACCCCACACACCTGCCGCTAAAGATTTATTCTGGTTTGGTTCCCTCTCATATTCAGGGTTCAAAGATGGCTGAAAAAAAGTTTTATCATTATTAAAAAAAATAAGTCTTGAATTCTGGGACCAATGAAATAAAGAATCACAATATCATCAACAGTGCAACCTCTGCTGTCAAAGATTTTTATATGGAGACAAACTAGACAATTTCCTCTGCGACCGAAATAGGGCAACGCTCACTTGTTTCTATTCTCCAATAAAACATCTCAGGCAGCAGTCAATACCATTACGTGAACTGTCCAGAGAAATAAAAATAAAAACAAAAAACAAAACAAAACACCAACAAAAAAACCCAGTATGAAGTATGGTTCTTCAGAAAGGAAGCTCACCCTGCCTATTACATCCTACAGTTCTAGGTTGAAGAATAGGATCTCAAAGGGCCACTCGCAGAAAGATCACTTTGTTAGTACTTCAGATTTCCAGTAAGGTAACAGTAGAATTTAATACGTATACATATCACACTAAACTGGAACCAAATCATAGTTTCACTTAAATGCTTAAGTGACAATAATAAACACATAATGATAAAAACTGGATATAAAAGGAGCAACAAGTTAGTGGACAAATGACTAACACCCTCTTACCTATGGGAAGGGTGATCCCTTATATGATGATCTGAAAATGGTGAAATCTCATGAAGTAGCTTGTAATGGACAAAATGGCACTTGCAGAAACAATGAAACCTTGTTTATTATAATTACAATTAACTTACAAAATCCTCAGCCTCAAACTGTTTGGGTACTTCTTTGTCTTCCCTTTTCCCAGATTCATTATCAGGTACATTGTTTTCATGCAGTCCTTGGCCTTTTCCACAGTGGAAAGTGCTGGTACGAGCGCGGGAACTTCCACCATGGTATCCCCCACGATGGTTTACGTTTTCTGTACCATTTCTGCCTTGTGAACGCCAACCATTCTTCTCTTTTCTCCCAAAATGCCCTTAGATTTTTAAATTTTAAAGAAATGTAATTACAAACTATTTCAAAAGAATAATCTGATTTTGCAAAATTATTAGAGAAGTTAAGTCAGCAGCTTTATACTCTGGGATGTGATAGCATAGTAAACTTAAGTTTTCAATCATGTAAGCAGTATGAAAGAATCTTACAAAGCAGTTCCCGAGAAAGAGGATTGTAGTCTGACATTAAGACAAATCAACCTCCTTTTCTTGCTGCTCATTTATATGTTGTTTGCTAGAATATTAACTCGACG